CCCTCTACATAAGATTCGGAAAATGTTGATGTTACAAAGAATTTTTTTTTTTTTTTTTGGTAATAAACATTCTTTGATTGATTGAATTTCATATATTTCTATGGTTCAAACAAACAAATAAAAACGATTCATTAAAGTTTCAATTATTGATTTCTATTTCGGTTTATTAGATCAATCTGACAATTGTAGATAATTTCTATTATTGATTATTATTTATCATAAAAATTGAAAAATGAAATTTCATTTTTCAATTCAATAATGACTCAATGAATGAACAATCGATCGATCAAATGATCGATCCATCCGATAGGTCCTGGACATTTCAACAACAACAATAATCATTATAGCAGTATGGTGCTAAGGAAAAATTCATTTATAATCAAAAAGGATTCATTCAATTTCAAGACAATTCATTTTTGTTATATTTGTAAATTTATATAACCAAAAAAAAAAAAAGTTCTTTATTTTATTTTTATAAAAATCTTACAATATTATTAATCCATTTCAAAAATATTCAATTATCCTTGTCACGAACTAAAAAAGTTCGATGAATAAAATGAACACAATCAATGTTTTCAGCCATAATGTTAACGTTCACATTTTCGTAGGTAGATGGCAACACTTAATTGATCAAATGGAATCCACGAATTGATACACAATGTCTGTCATCTGGAGGTTAAAATGTGAATTATTAATTGAGCAATTGACTAAAAGATATCATCAATTGAATAGCCAAATAATTCAAAATCTAGATAATATTTTGCATATAATGCCATTATTGTTTTAGGTTTTAATTGTTGAATATATTTTCGACTTTCTTGATAGGATTGTTGATCGCAATCATTATCGTCGTTGTTTGTGAGTGAAATGTTAGGATTTTTTGGGCTATTATTAGTGAAAAGTTTTTTAGCTGTTCGAAAATCATGATAGAATTTCTCATAATGGCCGACAACATCATAATGTATGTAGCATGGTTCACATTGTGTCCAGATTGGCGCCCATAATGGATCATATTGATATGGATCAATTGGCAACAATAATTCTTCACACCATTCTTCAAATGTCCAAACATGCATTGTTTCATTATTGATGATCAACGGGCTACCATCCGGTTGAAATTCCGCTAATTCGAATCGTTTTCTAAATGCATCAACTAAACGAACGAAAGGATGACGTACAAACATAATCCGAATGTAATTATTATTGACTAGTTTCGCTTGTTGAATTGGTGATATTAATTGAGGATGCTCATAATGAGGAGCGAATGATTTTTCAAACCATTCTGGTTCGAATACCCGAGGCACAAAACAGGCCATAATTTTCGTACTATTATCGATCATCAATGGACAATGACGTGTTGTTTGACACGATTCTGGTATTGTAGAATGCCAAGGACTTATCAAACGATTGCTTAATCGATATTGTGAACAAACTTGTTGCATTCGTTCAAGACGAGATTCTAATTGAGCTTGACAATTATGCTTGCCGCTGCCAGAAGTGGAATTCAATAATTCTATTATGTGTTGTTCGGTTAAATTCTTTAATGTAGGAGATTCAGTAGCTGACTCAAATGGATAAGCAAATAATTCTTGTCGATTATTTGGTTGTGGACACCAAGACCATGATGTTCCCATATTCCACCATGATGATGCTGATGATGATTGTTGTTGATTATCATTCGCTGGTTGATAATGATTATGACTAAAATGTTTTGCTCCATCTTCAATCACATAACGTCGATTTTCTGCAATACGAAAAATATTATGTACAGGATGACCATTGGATCCAGAATAACGATAATGATTAGGATCACAACGAAATGATTTATATAATGAACGTATGGCTATCGAAGCAATAATGATGGCCACAATAACAATGATTATGGTACGAAATTTTAATCTCTTAGAAAATGGTTGTTGTTGTTGTTGTTGTTCAGCTTGTTGATGAATGATAAAAACTTGAGGCAATTGTGATTGTGTTGAAATTGTATTCAAATCAGATTGATTCAAATTATGATGATTATTACCATTGTTAATCATTGTTGTATGATGATTATTATTCATTGTTGACAATTCAACCGAATCGGTGGTTTGTGAATCCATTGGATATGGATGGCTTTGATAATAATCATTTGATGGCGACATGATTGGTTCACTTTAATTGTCTTTTATTATTATTATTATTATTGATTATCGTCATTCATTCATTCATTTACTCAATCAATCAATCAATCATTTATTTATTCATTTATGATCAAACAGCTTTCACATATTGATTGATTGAAATAAAACAATAAAATGTGCATAGAAAAATGAATGAATTCAATTTTGAGAATGAAAAAAATAAACAAACAGACAATTGTTATAAATCTTTTTTTCTGATGCCAAAAATAACTACATTTTTTTTGTTGGTTGAAAAAAATTATTCACAAAGTATATTTTTTTTCTTCAATCACTATCCGTTGAATCAATATATTCGATATATTGATAAATTGATTGATTTTTATATACAAAACAAATGTAAATACACCAAATGTTTATAATATGTTGAATGCATTTTTTAAACAAAAAAACAAACATAAAAAATCGATTTCCCTTTCCATCATCGAATTTGATGCAGAGAAAAAAATGATGATAAATCATAAAGGAAATGACAACAGAACGAATAGCAAAAAAAAAATCACAGATAAAATCAATCCATCAATAAATGAATGAAAAAAACTGTCCCTACCTAATAAAACAGGGTTATCTATTGAACATCTATTTATTATTACTGATCGATATTGAAATCTTCAACAACTACAACAACAACTGATTGAATTTGAATTTGATTTTTAACAAAAAAAATGAAATAAATAAATAAATGGCAATGAAATTGGATTTAACGAATGGATCTTGCATACACATTTCTAATGGATACTTTGTTGTTGTACTGTTGTTTGCATTTTGCAATCATCATCAATTATATCGTTGTTGTTGTCGTTCAATACGACTCATACGTATAAGTTGGAAACTAGAATGGCAGCTATTTTCTTCCACTTCTTTTTTTTTACTTCTTTTCCTTTTCTTATCGTTCATATCATCATTAAGGATTTTCAATGTTTTTCAACGAAAACAAAAAGTAATGGTGGTGGTCGGGATGAGAAGGTTGAATAATTTATTTCATTTTAAATCGCGATATGGACAAAATGAATATATCAAGTCAAAAAAAACAAAACAACAAAATAAAGGAAATATTGAGGAAGTATTAACACTCATTTGTTTGTGGTTACATTGAATTAGACTTGGACATAGAATTGAAAATTAAAAATTTTTATTCATAAATAATAGATATTAATTTGATGCACAAAAAAAACAAAACAAAACAGACTACATAAATGGTGATGGTAAATTAGTTATTGATGCGGTTTTTTCATCCAAATTTTGTTGATTATCATCATCATTAATAAGCATGGCTGGTGGTGATGACGCACTCGGTTCTGAATGTTGTTCGATGGCTTCATCCGCATCTTCGATCGGATTCGATTCGTTCAGATGTTTTAATGATACAGTTAATTGTCTGGTCAAATCATTGTTATTACGATTATAATATTGACGTCTGGCAAACACAACAATCACAATGATTATTACTGAAATAAAAATGACGACGACAAATATTCCTGTTGCTATTTTCAGAATCAATTAGAAAGAATATCATTCATATATTAAAAATAACAAACCTTTTGATTTATTATGATGATGTATAATAGGTCGATCAGTTGATCCGGTTGGTTGATTAGTGGATGATGTTGTAGTCGGTCGATTGCTATCGATTGCTATACAATTAAAACCATAGCTAAGATCATCGATTGCTAATCGTGAATGTTCATCTTCATGTATCCAACCACGCAAAACAAATTGAAATGGTTTCATTGTTAGATTATGTAGATGATTATTATTCCAATGATCAATCCAATCATTGTCGTTGGGATCAGGATATTCAACAACCGCTTTATACCATCGTTGTTGATCCAAAACATCTGTTGCCGTTACTGACCATAGAATTTTCGATTGATCCGAGGATACATCATTATCATCATCTTGATAATGAACAAAAACTTCTAGACTTAAATCATTTGCATCTATTATACGACCAACGTCAGTATGCCAATAATAAAAGAAACGTATCTGACAAGGTTTCGTAATATTCAATACTTCGGATGACAGCCATGTTGTATAAATGGATGCATATCTGTATCGATACTGAGGAGAATTTTGATCCTTACTACTACCCGGTATTAACAAAGCATATGGACTTGATCGAGAACGTCTCGAATTATCAATCAACGGCTCATAACCGGGATTCAATCGATTATCTTCGAATTTGGCACCTGTTACAATCTGCCAATGGGCATGATTTTCATTATGATTATCCAAAGTAAGACGACATTGCGACCAACTTTCAAATGAACATCGACGCCACAAACTTGGATCGCAATGTTTAACAGATTCATCTTCTCCATCACCACCACAATCATCGATACCATCACAAATTGAATCCGGTCGAATACAAATCCTTGTTTGATTGCATAAGACTTGGTTACCATAACAATTCTCTCCAGGACTAAGTGGTTTTTCGAATGCGCAGTCAATAAAACGAATATTGTCGAGAGCAATAACTGATTGCGTGGATTGATCGAAAGCTTCGAATTCAACAATGAATGGCGTCCATTGTTGACCAATAAAACTATATGCATGTGTCCATGAACCATGTGTCGAACCGTTGGTATGTGCAATTATATAGAACGTATTCATATCATCGATGTCATCACCGAAACGAACTTTGAGAAAGAATGCACTTGATGCTTGAGCGAAATAATCAAATTCTACCAGACAATTTACTGATGAATGTTTAAAATACAACGAAATCTTTCGAGCATTGAGTGCCATCTCTGCGTGGCCAGATTGACTATTTTGTCCACCAATCCAACGGCGCATCATTATATAATGACCTTTTATATTGCCATCAGCATCGAATTTTGGAGCAAGTGATGGTGACCAAGCTTGCATTTCCGGTACAGATGTACGGAACCAATGATCTTTATCACGAAATCCTGTATCTTTCCAACCACAATCATCTTTTTCGAAATTACATTCTTCACCGCAACCAATTTCATCCCAACCGGATGGACAATCTTTACGGAAATCGCATTGTTGTTCGGGCATGATTACTTTTCCATTCAAACATTTGATACTTTCATTTTTACATCGATCTTGATGTAAACTAATATCATCCAAAGCGATCATTGTTTTTGGATTAGTAATAATGATACCTTCGATTAGAATCTGTATTTCATCGACTTCGCCTTCTAACATTACTCGATCGATTGTAAAATAATATGGTGTCCATCGGTCATGTTTTACTTCTTGTATTCTGCCCAGACTAAAAGTGTTCGCATAATGTCCAAGACTGTATCGTAACAATTCAATTTGGATATATGCTTTTGGATCATTGATCCAGGCCCACATTTCTAGACAATAAATACGGCCACGTTCGATACGTTGAGCACCGGAAATAATTTGTGCAGGTTTTTCTCTTGTATCGGTAGATGAATCTGGTGACCAGCGCCAAGCAGATAACATCAGGAAACCATTTCCTTCGATTTGGCTATGATCAAGACGGGGTCCGGGAAAATCTGGATGAAAATCTGACGTCCATGTTGCATACACACGAAATGCTTGGCCACTTTTAGTGTTATAATCTGTATAGCTACAATAATCATCTTGATTGAAATCACAATCGATTGGTCGTTGACATGGACGATTCAACACGATTAGATCATCCATAGCCAAATACGATCGATCACTTGTTGGTTTTATTATTTCAAATACGATTCGATGTTTAAAATCAAGTTGTTTATCAAATTCGACAACAGTCCACCATAATTTTTCTCTGTAAAAAATGAAAAAGAAAAATTGTTTCGATTATAATGATCGAATGATACTTACGAATTTGTTGCCCACAATAGATGATCATTATGACGATCATTTTCATCATCAAAATAATCACCAGCCGACCAATAAACTTTAAGTGAAACATTTCCGGTCAATTGATAGGCGAATCTTACGCATGATTGTTGTGAAACATCGGCCGGAACATTTTCGATTGACAAACGATCAATATAATCCATTAGAATAGTTTTAATTTTTTTGTTCATAAAACCAATATAATATCCATCTGTAACTGAATAGGTTGTATGATCTGCATGTGGAATATTCAATGGAAATTTATCAGTTTCATCGTGTGCTTCGATTGTAGGATAATTAATGAAAAAAGTATCCATTTCACTAAGAGGCTGTATCTGTTCCAACATTAGGCCATCAAGTCCATTGGTAAATGTATAACTATAATCATTTTGATGCTGACAACGACCTGGTCGCATTCGGATATCATCGATGGCAAACGAAATGAATGCCGTTTTCGATGAAGAAATATCACTCGATAGGCTAAAATTCATTCGTATCAATATTTTTTCACCAAATTCTTGAAAAAAGAAAAAAAAACATGTAAAAACTTTTTTCTAATCAACATAGATGGCACTACATACCATTTGTTTCGGTAAAAGGAATGGTGACACGATGTTGACGCCATGATTGTGTACGAAGAAAACGAAATTTCGAAAATTGATTGATCCAATTTTTTCCCAAATTATTTATATGGCCATGACTGTAGGAAAGATCGAGACGAAAAACATCGAATGGTGAACCACCATCTGCATAGTACCAGAATGATAAACAACGTTCTCTATCATAATTCATTTGTGGTCCGACTAGATATTGATTGATTTCATCCAAATGATTCGTATCATTGATAAACATAATATAATGTCCTGCACTATCCTTCAACGTATGATCGATTGGTGGTGCATATTGATCATTTCCTATAATAAAATTATCAAATATATTTAAATAAATATCGCTCAATGTTTTCAACTTACTTTGTACATGCGATGTAATTGTCCAGATTTTTGGATCAAATTTCCAATGACAATCTTGTTCAAAATCACAATCACTAAAACGTTCACTATCGGGTAACGGTGTTGACGGTGGTGGCATTGGCGATGAATCTGAGTTCTTCCAACAACGATCCATTTCGATTTTAATATCATCGATGCCCAAATCGCTAGTAATTTTACTGTTATATTTGGTAACAATTTCAAACGAATATACCATCGGCAGATGATGAAATTCTCGAGCAAATTCAATCCAACCGATTGGTTCATGTGTTTGAGCATACACATCGAATTGATGTGAAATGGCACCATTTTTATGAAGATCCAATACTCGTAACGTCATTGGTTTCGTCACATTTTGATCTTCACAATTGGCAAAGTAAAACATTCGAAAGCAGGCAATATCTTGATTTTTTGGACGATTTATAATCGGACCACGTAATATTGTTTCGACAGTTGATGATGATTGTCGATACATATCCAATACAAGTGCTAGATAATTTCCATCCGGTCGACCAAGTGTATGATCAAATGAACAACCTGATTTACTTACGAAATGATTTTTCGGCTGTACACGAATCCAATAGATTAATTGATTATCGTTGGTATTTTGATTCAGATCTATTCCATTATACCAACCACACATGTCAGTTTCAAAATCACAATTACCATGAAGTGAATCACAAAAATGTGGAATGAATCGAACATCATCAATCAATATCATTGTATCTTGATCCATTGACTGTTGAATCTGCATTATAATTGATGCTTGTTTTGTTGCCGTAAAACTAACACTCATCAATGTCCATTTATTTTGTTGATTAATTGATATTATTTCATCAAGGCTTACATTTTTCAATGTTGATCGATAATTATTTTCTTGTATTTGTATTGATAATTTTACATCTTTGGCCGTCGATTGTTGTTCCATATCTAACAAATTCAATTCCGAAAGTGTCAAAAAGTAATAATATAAATTTAAACAAAATTCATATCTTCGTAATGGATTCAATACAGCTGTATCATTTTCAGGATAGAATGGTAATGATTCCAATGATTTTATAACCGATGATATCATCAAATTTGAATCACCCATTGTAGGTTGGGCTAAATAATGTCCTGTAGTTGTACCGGTTGTATGATCATTATTTTGTCCATTATGACTACGTTGTAGATGACCAGCCAATTGTTTCCAATCACATTCATTGATTTCAAAATCACAAAATTCTTTGGATGGTAGTGGACATTTTCCACGTGTAATCCAAATATCATCAATACCGGAAATCGTATTGGCATTAAGTTCAGATTTGATGAGCAAATCAAAATCTTCATTTAATGAATTTACTTCAATCCATGCTTGTTGCCAATTACGTACTGTTGGCCGTATTCGTTGCCAAAGCATTCTTGATATTTTAAAATTTTCATTGCTTTGCCTAAAAATAACCGATAATAAACCAGATTCTATGCCAAAAAAATAATACCAAAATGAAAAACAATAGATATCAGCAGCATTGGCATTTTTGACTTTAATCTTTGACGCTGTTTTCAATATTGATGTTCGACGTGGAATATTGTCTGCTAATTTAATAGAATCAGTTAGCCATATGCCATGTTTTTTGGGCAATGGTCGTATACGACTGGTATGATCTTCACCTGGTTCAATATCCGGACGATTTGTACGAAACCAACTTAGAGATTGTTGTTGATTATCATCATCATCATCATTGGCTATAATCCAACCGCAAAGACCGGTTTCAAAATCACAATTCAATTTTTCAATAGATTCAGGTTTGCTATCATTTTTTGATCCTGTACAATTATGCAATTGAATAGTATCAATGGCAATAAATTCTTTTGACTTTCGTTTGTCATTTTGTGATCGAAATGATCTAATTCCAATGATTATATTGAAATTAAATGATCTTTGACCAATATTGATTACATAATTTTTCCATTCATTTCGAGTCTTAGTATAAATTGAATAAATAAAATGGTCATTGAGAAATATTTGAAATATTTCTTCTAAACTGCTGATTAGTTGAAATGTTAATTTACAATGTTCATTTGTATGAGCATTGATGAATGGACTCTGAAATTCGGTTTGTATCTCTATCAACGAAAGCGATAATCATTATTACTCTAATTCATTGGACATAGAAAACTTACCGTGAAAATCAAAAATGAATCCCATATAACCTCCCATTGGATTATTTTGGCCATCACGATTGGGTAATGGATCCGGTGCATTTGATGCCACTTCGATTAGATTCCAATGTCCATTATAACCATCAGCTTCAACTTGATTTTCCCAACGACAAGATGTTCCTTGATTAAAATTACAATCACCACATTGAGCTTCATCCGATCCATCATGACATTGTGGAACAAAATCACAGATTTCACTTTCCGGTATACAGATACGTTTCTGTTTCTCATTTTCACACCACATTCCATCACAAAAATCATCCGGTGCAATTGTTGTCAAATTTCTTGGCTCTGTCGACAAAATATGGCAATCATTAGAGAAACTTATATCATCGATAGCAATGTAAGGTTTAAGGAAATTATTCTTATAAGGTCTTAATTCGGCTTCAATTAGAATCTTATATGTTCCATTCCATCGTCCTTCAGGAAACATATAATAAAACCGATCAAAATATAGTCTTTCTTCACGTAATGTATTTAACAAATAAATTTCATTCGTTTCAAGATCCCATAGTTTTAGAAACAATGTGGAATTCACTGTATTTTTCAGTACAAACATTCGTATTATACATTTTTTTGAAATTTGTATCGGTGGACCGTCAACGATGGCCATTTTTGGTTCATAATTATCAGTACCGGTGAATAAAATACGACCACCAGATGAATATCGTAATGTATGATCATAACCAGGTCCATGTCTGTAATTTTGAAATGATTCGACATTCTCTAAACGCCAATTAATACGATAAATATCACCCCAACGTCCCCAATCACTATCCTTTTGGAATGATGACATTTGATTGGTATAATCACAATTTTGTTCATTTTCATCCGAACCATCACCGCAATCATCTTCGAAATCACAAACATTTTCTTTATCAATGCAAACATTGTTTTCGCAAAGAAATCTATGACAAGTTTCATCCGATTTAATTGGTTTAGGAGGATCACAGTTTTTCATTTCGAATGAATGAACCGAATGATAAGATTCACTATAGGTATCAATTTTCAATTCTGGACCCAATGGCGTAGCTTTCAATATCAATCGAAATGGATGAGGTATTCTTCCGAGAAAAAAGTCAATCATTTGCCATTCATTCTTTTTGTATGCTGTTGATGGTGACATTCCACTTTGCCACAATATCACTGGATCTTCATCTTGGATTTGCATTTCGAGATAGAATCGATCATTTGTATCATTCCAATTACTGTTGAATAGATAAAAAAATGAATAATGACAACTTGTAAAAGATTCATGAATCAATGGAGATATCAGTTTAGCATAGTTTTCGTATGCCTTTGTTAAATCACCGAAAGCCGTTAATGAATCTTCTAAGTGATCCTTTGGTCCATGATATGAATCTTTTGTTAATCGCCATAAAAAAAATACATTTTCCGCAACCATATCATAGCCACAAATATTACCTGGCATTATATGACAGGTACCGCATTCTAATTCATCTAAATGATTTCGACAATCAATATGATGGTCACAGACTTTTTCAACCGAAATGAACCAATCTGGATCACAATAAAATCGACCATCATGAAACCCATGTAATGGTGTTGTCGATATTGGTGATGTAGTTGTCGGGATTGTAGTAGGATATGGTAATGGATTGTCAGGATTATCACATTCTTTACGTTCAAAACTATAGTCATCAATTGCAACATAACTAAATTGTTCTGTATCATCACTTTTCGCTGCAGTAGCTATCTATTTGAATTAAAAACAAAACAATTTAACATTAAATAACCAACATCAAACAAAAAAAACGATAGATAATTACAATAAAAAAGTACATATCCTTTGATGATGCTTTCATTTTTCGTGTTTGTATCTGTAATGTTCGCCAATCGGTAATCGTTATATTTGTACCGTATAATTTTTTTGCTAAAGGTGACATTGATTCAGCTTGATATATTTCAATGTATGAGTTGTCAGTTGGTTTAACAACGGCCAGAGATAAACAATAATTTTCATCTTTATTATCATCTATATCATAACGATCGGTAAGAATAATGCCTCGTTCAACATTATGATGTGAAACAAACAATAAATATCTGCCTTCCGATGTACCAATTGTATTATCATAATCAATGGATTGACCATTCATAAGTGGTGTATAGACATGCCATTCACTATCAATGAAATTAGTTAAATAACTATATGCGACTAAGGTAAGATTTGATATTTTTGCCAAAACAATTTTTTCTTCATCGCTTAGTATTTTTGATTCGGATTTTTTTCGTAATATTTCCAATGAACAAGCATCATCACTTTCGAAATCACATTCATTGCTTTTACATATTCCTGACATTATTTGAATATCATCAACAAAAATGCCAATGTTTTGATTATCCATATGGTTTGGTGGAATTACAACGCCCATTTGAATGCTGAAATATCCTTCTACAGGACTAAATATTGTGGCTTGATGTGTCAACCAACCGACTTGTCCATTCAAATTATTTGCACCAGTTATTTTCCATGAATCTTTTTCTATTATTAAATGATTTTCATCGAAAGCTTGATAATATAAGCTAATATTTCCATTTCCCATTATGTAGTATGAAAATCGAAAACATAAATCATCTTTGAATGTGGTTTTTGTTGTTATCATACTTGTGATTGTATTCGTATTGTGATGAATAACGTTAATTCCATAAAAATGTCCCAATCCAGTATCGGTAGTATGATCTTTGATATTTACATCATAACCTTCAAATATTTTCCATGATGGAAGTTGGTTTGAAACAGGTTTAAACATGCATGCTGATTCGGATTCAAAATCACATTCGTTTTTTTGTGTACATTCTCCCATAGTTACTTCGATGTCATCGATTGCAACAGTACCTTGGAGAACATTAGTATATATTTCGAACATAGCCGTATTTTCATCGATTGTTATATCGACCAATGCTTCATGCCATTTAATAGCAATTTCATCATATGAATGATATACAGTTGTCTTTTTATCGTCCGTAGATATTATATTAAGTCTAATCGAGGAATTTTGTTCTCCATAAAGTAAATATGCGAAACCAAAACAAATTTTAGTCGCTTGTTGAACAATGAATGGATTTTTGGCTTTTAATGAGCCCCAGTTGAACATTTCATAACTTGACGATTGAATCATAACAAATCCTCCTTCTTTACTATGACTAGTATGATCTTCAAATGGCAAATGATGAGCACCAATAGCATTGGTCAATTGAAATCGAGATAAATTCCATTTTCCAGGGCTGTTTGAATCAAAATTTTCACAAATCGATTGAAATGGATTCGAACTTTTGTTTATCGAAAATGATGGTAAAGATAAACCAAATAAAACGATTAATATAAATTTCATTTTGAAAAATTTATTCGATTTCATTTTGAAAATCGAAAAAAAATGTGCAATTTTGTTCATAAAAACAATCAATCAAATAAGAAATTAGAAAAAAAAACAAAAACAAATTAAAACTAAATAAAAATCAACAGGAAAACTCCTTTTTCATTAATCTTTTATATATTTCTGATCCAAAAAAAAATGATCATCAACAAATTCATTGTTTGATCAATTGATTGATAACGTCAGCAATTTCATTGTCACTGATCAAACACCCATCAAATGTTACCAGAAAAAAAAATTCTAATCCAATAATAAGAGATTTAGAATTTTAACACCCAATTAATTTTTTTTTTAAATAGAATTGTTATCGTTTTATCTGATTTTCAGATGAAACAAATTATCACAAAAAAATGGTATTTCGAAATCATTAATAAATCTAATCTCATGAATAAAGTTAATCAATTCATTCAAGTCATTTTTGCTCTTTTTCTCTCTCACCCATGTATACATACACATTCAGCCAATCCCAAGCGAACATTTTTTTCTTTCATCTTTGCTATGAACAATTTTAAAAAGCACCTCCTTTAAAAGGCGTTAAACACATATGAAGTGTGGTTAGTTTGGATACATTTGGACATGGTCAATCTTTTGTTGTACATTTTTTTTTTTTGAATTAAATAAAATGCGATAATGATATGATTGCCCAATCAAAATAATAGTCAAGTTTTTGCTTCCAAATTGTTCATACATATCGTTGTTATTTGCAGTATCAACTTTTTTTTTAATTTTTCATTCATTTTGGATCAGAAAAAATCCATCAAGAAAGATCTAAAACATGGTAAATCCAAATAATTATTCATTTTCAATCGATTCTTTATTGAATAATAATAATAATAATCATCGCCATACATATCATAATAATTCAACAAATGGATTGAAAATTGATACAGATAATAATAATCAAATGTTTCATTATGATAAAATTAAATCATTGACAACAACAATGACAATGCCTCATCATTATCCATCACATTTAATGTTTTTTCCACCACCGCAACCACCATCAGCAAGTTTATCACATTCAATGCCAGAAATAATTTTGAATGATAATAAATTGAAAACAACAATGGCAACAAATCTTTCGATTGATCAACAACATCGAATGTACCAATTGTTTTTGAATTATCATCATCATCTGATACGCCTACAACATCAACATCATCAACAGCAACAGGAAAAATTTTCAATAAATTTAATGGAAAAATTAAACAATACAAATCATGTTGACATACCGTTTGTGTCGGAAAATCAGGGAAAATTTCCAAATGAATCTACACGATTTATTCAATCCGAATTGAAAAATTTCTTTAAAACATCATCCGACTTCAATGATATTTCAGAAAAAAATTTAGAATCTTATTCAAATCAGAAAAATTATGAAGATAATAAAATCATTGGTGGTGAGGAAATGGCAATCGATGTAATACGAACAACACCATCACCATCACCATCTGAATCCGAATCGGATCCATTAGCTGAAAATCTATCTGCAACAACAGCAACCATATCAACAACAAACAATAATGAAAAATCAAATTCCGACATGAAACGACGACGAACTTGTTTTAGTTCGGAACAATTGTTAGAATTGGAAAAAGAATTTCATTCTAAAAAATATCTTTCATTACGTGAACGAGCTCATTTAGCGGATGTTTTGGATCTAACTGAATCACAGATAAAAATATGGTTTCAAAATCGTCGTGCCAAATGGAAACGTGTTAAAGGTCAAATGGCGACAGAAATAAATCAAGCATTACAAACACCGGTAGCATTATTCAATATGAAACATTCTAATCATCATTCTAATCATTTTAATGTACAATCAACATCCACTTCTTCATCACCCGCATCATCATCGTCATCAATATCATCAAACAATTCCAATTCATCATCATCATTATTATTAATGTCATCGAATCGTGAAAATTCTAGCGAAACAACAACAAATTCAAATACGAATATTGGACATAAAATTCATGTTCCAATACCGGTACATGTTGATCGAATACTGTTGCGTGGTCAACAACAACAATATGAAAAAAGGTCAGTGTTAAAAAACAAAAATATTCATTGAATTTTATTATTATTATTCAGTTCTTCTTTTCACTCTCTTCCATTCTTTTAAATCTAATAAATTTTACAATTTTTGATGATGATGATGGTAATGGAAATTAGATTTGCCTCAAACTAATTATCGACATAAAAAAAACATTCATTCATTCAAATTGATTAGTTGTTGATGATAATCAATAATTATTGATCAATGATGGTCAAAACTTTCAAACAACATATTACATTAGATTAAATTAGTGAACCATCATCATCATCATCAATAAATTTGATTTACACAAAACCATCATCATCATCAAATGTAGATATAAAATTATATTCACTTTACACTTATTACATTATTATTATTATTATTCACGATGTGATAAGATTAGGTGTGAAAAACACCGACCAACTAACTAATAATTATATGACCCATGTGATGATAAACAAAATGTTAATGTTTTTGTGATAAATAATGTTGGCGTCTTGCTTAATTTTCTTTCTTTCTTTCTTTCTTTTTTTCTAAATGATCATTTTGGCGTTAACATCAATTTTCTGTTGAATCCTAATCCTAATCATAGTATACATGTATGGCAGGATTGAGAGCAGAAACAGAAACAAAAAACATGCATGTATGCATGTCTCATTCATATTTCTTTCTTTCTTTTTTTTCATCTATCGATAAATAATGATAATGATTGTGGCGGTAACCCAATATAATGATTTCAAATTAGATTAGATATTTGGCCAACTTAATTATTCAACATTTTTTTTCTTATATGTCCAACAAATAAAAAAAAACATGAAATGAATACATTCAAACCTGGGCCAAAAAAAAAATGATCAAAGATCATATAATCAGAAGATTTTATTTTGTTTGTTCTTTAGTATAAATTCAAGACAAAGCTACCGCTATAAAAAAAATGATGGAAATCCTTTTCTAATTCCTATTCTGTTTTTTTTCCTGGCCAACTATGTTTATACGGTCTGTATTCATCTATTGAACGAATAAAACAAGCCGAATGAACACGTTTTTTTTTGATGATGATGATGAGGATGATGATGATTATTATTATCATCAATAGATATATGATGGCAATCATCGTGATTATCGATGGATAATTATCATCATCATCAAAGTATAATCTAATTTGTTATTACTGTCGGCATCATCATCATCATCATCATCTTGATGAAAATTGATGTGATGATTGGTATTAGCATTTTTTCCTATAATAATAATTATTATTATTATTTATTATGAACTGAAAGAAAACTAATTGCAATTCGAACCACGAAATTTGAACCCGATAAACAAAATAAAAAAGTTTGAATCTGATTTTGAATGAATGAATGAAAACTAGATGTTTTGATTGAATTTTTTTTCTCCTCTTAATAATTCGATTATTCAGTCAATTCAGATGATGATCATTCTAGAGTTGAAAATTGATTTCATTTCGTGATGATCACAAATTGATTGATTGAAATCGATTAATCGAAATTATTTTAAATCTTAGTCTCATTGAATTTGAATTTTGAAATTCAATACAATAACGATACAAAGAAATTGATTTTTACATTGTTTTCTGATTCAAAAAAAAAAAAAACAAAACAAAAAAAATTGTGCAAATCATTCCGGAAAATTTCTCAATTTATCTACAAAATTGATTGATAATTAATTGATCAATTCAATTGAACAAATTTAATAAAATTTGATTTGTTTTCAGGGTCAATTATTCAATTGATTTTTTTTTTGTTTTGTTTTTGTTTTGGATATCCTGGATAGATTCAATCTAAATGCATGAAAACACATTATGTTTTTGTTTTCAAAGAAAACGATTCTATTCGATTTCTTTAATGGCAGATAGTTATTATCAAATTACTGATAAAATGTTGTTAATAGTGATTGTTATTAAACAAATCAAAACAAAACAAAAAATCGATTTTATAATTTCGGTTCCTAATTTTTTCCAACATCAAAATAAAACAAACAACCAAAAAAAAAATAAAACTCGAATCAGTGAAAGGTATGTACAAAACAAAAACAAAATGATTGTTATGATTTTCATTATCATCGCCTTTTCTCAATCAACCTCTTTTTGATGATGATGATGATGATAATGATGATGAATCAAAGTGTAAATGATCATCACCAAGAGATAATAACAAGAGAGTACGAGAAACAAAAAAATTTTGCCGACAAAATTACAGCTCATTACAGACGAGAATAAAAGAAATAAAGTTTGGTCAAACTTTCTATAGTTTTTTTGTTGTTGTTGTTGCTGTTGATATTCTTCGATCGATAATCCGGATAGCAATTCAAACATGGATTCTACGTTATTTTTTGTTGTTGATGATAATGATAATAATAATGATGTTACAATCATCATCATCATCATCATTATTATCGTCTTTTTTTTCGGTCCATAGATCCAAACGATATTTTTTTTTTGGAGAAAACAAATTATCATTCCATGATGTCGATGTCGATGATGATGATGATGTTTTTGCAATAACAATAAATAATGATCATGATAATATTTGCTAACAACCTCGAGGTAAAACAGAAATCTGAGTATTAAAAAAACGCCCCTTGTACACTGACTTCGTAAATCATCACCATCATCATCATCATCATGATCATCGACGACGATTGATCATCAAAAAAAAAACGAGGGATCGATTTTCATTTTGTTTGATTATGATGGCTTTTCACACTGTACGTACGAAACAATATAAAAAAAAACATTAAACAAATCCGACAACGACGACGACTTAACGAACAAAAACAACCAACCAACCAAATTTGTAATTAGAGTTGCGTTTGTTTTTCTTTCATTTCGAAACACCAAACTTTGTACCTACCAATAACAACAACAACAAACGAATTTTGTTGTTGAAAGCACACTTGTTTGTGTCTCATCATCACCATAACATTATGGCCATAAGATTAATGATCTTTTCGGATAATGATGATGATGATGATGATGATTGGTGCTGTTGATTCTTTCAACCAAAAAAAAAAAAAAAAAAAAAACTGAAATTTTTTTTTTTTCCAAAAAAATTTTTTTTGTCGGAAGCCNCGACAACGACGACGACTTAACGAACAAAAACAACCAACCAACCAAATTTGTAATTAGAGTTGCGTTTGTTTTTCTTTCATTTCGAAACACCAAACTTTGTACCTACCAATAACAACAACAACAACAAACGAATTTTGTTGTTGAAAGCACACTTGTTTGTGTCTCATCATCACCATAACATTATGGCCATAAGATTAATGATCTTTTCGGATAATGATGATGATGATGATGATGATTGGTGCTGTTGATTTTTTCAACCAAAAAAAAAAAAAAAAATACTGTAATTTTCTTATTTTCCAGAAAAATTGTCTTTGTCGGTAGCCGAGAATATTGTTCATTGTATATTGTGTCGGAATCTGCAACAGAGAAAAAAATTTTCATTTTCAAAGTTAAACCGGACGAACCTGTTGTTCATTATTATCGTGTAATAATAATGATGATGATGATGATAATGTTAAACATATTATAAACATAAAATACGCTAATCATTTGGGTGTTTGGTCAAAGGTCGAGGTGTGAGGTTGCCTTATTTTTTCATCATTAACCATATCTTATTACTTTTGAGATTTTTTTTTGAAAATATATTCTCTAATTATCGATTTATTTTTTTCGCAATGTACAGAATGCAACAAAATGGAGTTCGTATAACAGCTAAATCACAGGTACCGAATCAAACATCGTTACTGCCACCACCACCACCACCGCAAATAACAACACCATTCGAACAAACATTGGAACCAGATTCTGTTGGTGTTATAATGAATGATTCGATTAGTAACAAAACAACAACAATAACAACAGCAGCAGCAGCCAAAATTACATTATCATTATCACCAAATTCAGCATTTCAAGCACCGTTAATCAATCAAAAACAACCACAACAATCAAAACGATTATTACGACGAACTGATAGTAATGGTAATAGATTACGAACATCATTATTACCATTATCATTACAACAATTAACACATTCATTTGCATTAGCACATCATCGATCATTATCATCATCATCATCATCAACAACAACAAAAACACAAATATCATTCAAATGTTGATTTAATCCAATCTGACCAATTTGTAAAAAAAAAATTTCCAAAAAATCAAAATTTTTATTCAATATAATTAAAAAAAATCAAGCTTTTTTTCTCATTTTCTTTCGTATGATACGCCTATTTCATGTAAATTCATTTAACAATTTTCAAGTTTGGAATATTTTTTTTTTTGGTGATCCTTAATTATGGTTCACACACAACAACAATAGGTTATTGTTGATTCCCCCCCCAAAAAAAAAAAAACGAAACCGAAACCGACACACAACACCTTTTTTTTCTGGATAACCCAACAAACAAGCAGCAACGGTTGTCAATCACAAATGTGTCGATAAATATANACCTTAATTTTGGTTCACACAAAACAAAAAAAGGTTTTTTTTGATTCCCCCCCCCCCCAAAAAAAAAAAAACGAAACCGAAACCGACACACAACACCTTTTTTTTCTGGATAACCCAACAAACAAGCAGCAACGGTTGTCAATCACAAATGTGTCGATAAATATACAGTGAGAAAAGGTGGTGGGTGAAAAACAAAAAACAAAACAAAACAGAAAAGAAATGTATAATGCTTGCCTGTGTTATTAAGTGGAATAAACAAAATGAAAAAAAAAATTCTTTGACTTTTCATTCACTTCATCATCATCATCATCATCATCATAATGATGATGATAATAATAATGATTGTTACAAGTATCGCGTTGCCTATCGGCGCAATTAGGCGGTGTATTTGAAATGATGATGACAAGGGAAAAAAAAGTCAAACGTCTGCTGTTTCTTTTTTGTTGTTGTTGTTGTTCATTATTTGGATTTTGTTGCTTTGTTCGGGTTGTTGTTTGTAAAAAAAAACGATTAACAAACACATACACCATAAACGATGGGCGTAAACTGTAAATTTGTTAAAAGAATTTGTTATCGAATTAGCGAGCCTGTCATCATCTCGTCATTTTTTTTCTCTTTCCATTTATCCATCCACATATACACATCAATGGATGACCGAAGTCAACAACAACAACAAAAAAAAATCTTGTTTGTCTCTTGTGGTTGTCGATTTCTTCGATATATTTGATCGGTTAAAAATGATCGCGTGTGTGACATATCATGGCCTTTATAATCTTTCTCTCTCTCTTGTTCAATGTTCCAGGATCAATGTTATTCAGTTTGTAAAACGAATATGATTTGATTTCTGTTGACAGCTGTCATGTTTTTTATGTTTTTTCTTTTCGTTGTTGTTTTTTTTTCTCACTCAATCAGAATAGGAATCGTATTTTTTTGTTACTGGCCACAGGTTGTGTGTGTGTAAGAATGGATGTATTAAAACACGCCTTTTTGATGTTTTTTTTTCAGTGGATAAATATGAAAGGATAATCCGATCAGGAAAAAAGCTTCGGATTTATGAATCAATTTTTCTCACACACACAAAAAAAAATTACAAACATTTGATTAATCATTATTATCTAGTATTGATCCAAGAGAAGCAAAAAAATAATCAACATCATCATAATTATCGAAAATGGATATTGTTTTTTTTTTTTTGTTGTTGAATGAATTTGAATATAAATCAAAAACTAATTTGTCTCTCTTACTTATGGTTATCCCAATCCATTATGTATGGCCAATTATCATTGTTTTGCTTATTGGTTCAAAAAAAAAGAAGTTTGATCTATTCGTTTTAAATGTTTTACCATTATTGATCATTGTTCATCATCATCATGATGTTTCACAAACACACAATGATTATGATTGTTTTAAACATATTAGACATTGTTATTATTATGTATCACAATCACAATAATAATAATAATAATAATAATAATCAGATGAAATGAAATAAAACACCTTGCACCTTTTTTTTTTTGTTTTATTTTAAAAAATGGAAATTATCACCTTTTTCAACATTCGGGATAAACGAATAGAACAAAGATTATCGATAATAATTGCTAATAGCGTAAAACATCACACTAACCAATTATTAATAGGCGGAGTAATGTACTCTGTGTGTGTGTGTGTGTGTACAGTATAGTGTTATCAATGTGTAAAAATTAAAGCTTGTCATACTGATGAATTAATGAATGAAATTATTGAAAAGTTAGAAAGAGAACCAAATATTAATGATTGTTCTATGGTCATTTTCATCAACATTTTTTATATAAAATCTTGTAAAAATTTGGCCACATTAATCGATAATAAACCGAATTTTTATTTTCTTCAATCATGATGATGATGATGATGATGATGATGATGATGATGATAATAGTGATGATGTAGGATATATCAGATTAATTCAGATTCATAAAGTTAATTCATTTTTGTTTTACAATTATATGGTGATAATTATATGTTATGTATTTTATATTATATCATATATGTGTGTGTGTTCCAAAAATTTGTCAGGTAAAAATTTTTCACATGTATAGTGATAATGATAAAATGATGGTTTGATTTGCATTTAAAATTAGTTTTTCATTATACACACATTCATTCATTCTTGATAAATAATAATAATAATAATAATGATGATGATGTTGAAGATTGGCTTGATTGCATCCATTTTTCTACTATATGATTGATCAAGATAATCACATGAACGTCAATTTGGAAAACAAAATGATAACACCTATGAATGAATCAACATGCATGCGTATATGTGATTCTGTGATAATTATATAACACTATGATAACAGCCGCTTCATCTAATATCATATGTAAATGATCAAAGGTTACTATTCTTTTTTTTTAAATTCATCACTATGATGGTCAAAGGACAATTTTATCATGAATTCAAAAAACATTTGTCTACAACATTGGCATTTAAAAATTTAAAAATATTTTTATTATTTGCCAAGATTAATGTATATTTACTTTTAATCCTCATATCCGTCTTTAATGATCTGATTTAAAGAAGTAAAAGATTATAACTTGTGATCAACATTTTTTTTAATGGATAATCAACCGGATCTTCATACTGAAAACAAATAAGAATTTCCTCGATAACAATCTTGGAGAAAAAAAAACATTGGAGATTTTCAAATAATAATGATGATGCAATCCAAAAGGAATTGAGATAAATTAATGACGCAATGAAAATTATCATCATTTATCTATATAAATGGATCGGCTATCATTTTGTTCAATCTAATCATAATCATTATTATTTGCTTAATCGAATCAGCTAATTGATCAATTATGATGTTACAACTTTTAACCGTTTCAAATCTTCTTGTGTTTGTCACTTGTATTAATATCAAATTGAATGGTAATGATTTTCCTTTTTTTAATTTGAATATTTAACATTCGAAATTTTTCTGCCACAGTGACCAACATTAATCGAGCAATGGATGCAGCCATATATTATGCAACCGAAATGAAAATTGATTTCGAAAAATTGGGCATCATAGTTAATATGAAAGATTTTCATCACGAAAAATGTATCTTTAGTTGTACAGCCTATACTACTACTGGTTATCTGAAAGGTAAACATTGTGATCGAATTGAATTTCCATTAGCAATCGAATTGGATCAACACAATAGTCTATATGATGCAGATATTTCATTAGGTGATGTAAATGAAATCGGATGCAACAAGAATGAATTAAAATTACCTTATTTGCAGCGATTGTTGGTCAATCAATCAATTATGTTTGATAAAAATTGAAAATTTTGAATTAAAATTTTTTATTTATTTTTGAGAAACAAACAGGCACTATTTGTCATCATCATTTTTTAGCCAAAGAGAGAGAGAGAGAAGACAACATATCATAGTTAAATGAATTTCAAATGGTGTGAAATCTTTCACTAGACATTACAACCATACACCCAATAATTATGATGATAATTATCATTTCAAGCCTATCATCATCGTTTTTTACCTGCACACACACAGCAATCATTTGATTCTTGGTTGTCATCATTAACATCTGCACTTACGGTTAACGAACCATTATCATCATCATCAGGTCATCTGTATATGCTATATGTCTAGCCAGGTCGTGCGTACATCTTTGCTTTAATTAATCGTTTAGTTTTGTTTCATTCTTTTTGTCGTGATGTTTTTTCTTGTTGAGACAAAAATTGACGATTCTTTTTGTTTTTTAATCCTTTTTGATGTTGTTCTAGCGGATGTTTCCATTTAAACAAATTTCTCATCGCCAACAATTGTCAAGTGAGAATCGCTTAATGCGTCAAACATTAGTTCCTATAGGAAGGATTTAGCTTAGTAAAAAAGTTTAGTGTGCCCCATCTAGTGACAGAATTGAAAATAATGTATTTTAGAATTATAAATGCAACTTTAAAACATCGATCATAATTCATAAGAAAAATTAACGATTCAATATTGATTCGATCAGATAGATTTATTTGATAACTTGATAATTTATAATGATAAGGTTTACATATGAAATATGTGATTTGTGCATCATTCGTTAATTGAAACGGTATTTGTTTTTTTTGGGTGTTTATTTTCAACATCAACAATCAATATAAAGAGAAAGAGAAAAAGCTCAAAACAAAAACAAAACAAAAAAGAAAAAGAAAAAATAATTGAGAAAGAGAGATTGATACAAAGACAACACTGAAATAATTATCAATTCTAGTTAATAATCATCACTATATTTATTAATTAGTTCTAATCATCTATTTGCTTTGTGAAATGGAAAAATGAAATATCTTTCGGTTGGCATGGGAGAGGAAGTTTAGGAATTTAGTGATTTGAATGTTCTATACAGAAATTGTGTTATAGTTTATCGATGATGATAATCAACATCCGAATGATGTTGAACAGCCGGTACCATTGCAACAATCGTGTTTGGCAATGATAATGGTCCATTTACCGTTATTAATCGTCCGCTATTCATAGCCGTAGCTGTTACATTTATTTTATTGGTTGCTGAATCAATTGAAGTTAGATGATTGATAGATGATAATGGTTGACATGATTGTTGTTGCATCGTCAATGTTGACGCAGGTGGAGGAGGAGGTGGGGGCATTAACTGTTGTTGTTGAGAATTGGTTCCAGCACTATCATTACTATCGTTATATTGGAATCCATCTTCATCGATATCATCTATATCAACATTATCTTCATCATCTTGGCTTACGTTGCCACTACCATTTTGATTATCATCTTCAGTTAATTGATTTGTATTATTCATTATTGAGCTTGAATTAATTACAACATTTGCTGTTGTTGCTGATGATGATGTTGGTGGTGGCTGTCCATCTATCATATTTGATTGTTGTTGCCGATTACAATCACCCATATCACAATCATCAACATCATCGTCAATGTCATTAGTATCATTTTGTTCGGTATGCTGTGGACAACATTGATGATGATACATTGTGAATTGATGATGAATTTCAGCTGGATGATTGGCCATTGATTGTGCATGATTCGATTGTGATGTGATTTGCCGTGAATGATTCATATTGGACCAAGGTGTTTTCGAATTGGCACTAGCTAATCGTCGCCTCAATTGATTTTGTTCTTGTTGCTGTTGTTGTTGTTGTTGATGATGATGATTATAACTTGATTGTGCTTTGATCATATTGGATTTATTTCGATAATTGCCACTCGGTGGATGATGATAAGTATTCGATGAGCTATGATGATGATAAGATGTTGTTTGCTGTTGTTGTTGATAAATATCGGTTGTAGCTGGACCGGTTTCTCCAACATCCGGAACATATGGATCCAAATAATATTGATTGGCCGTACCGGCAGATGATGATGGTGGTCGATCATGATGATGACTAGGATCACCAATCGCTGCTGATGTGTTCAATGTACATTTGGAACATTTACGTCGTAATGTAGGCCTTTGTTGTGTGTCACTACAACTGATAGCCATTCGTAACTCGTTGGTCATTTCGGTACAAAGTGATTGCTTTTCAAATCAATCAAATCAGATTATCAATTATTAATCATTCAATTTGATAAACTTACTCTAAGATTTTGAGCATTCTTTTTTGAATGAACACAGAATTCAATGAAAGCAGTGACAATCGCAACAGCTAATCCACCCAACAATACAACAAATACACCGCCAATATTTTCGATTCCTAAAGCATTTGCTTTACCTTCTTTGCTTTTATCATCACGTGAACATTTGATACCGGGACGTTTCCACCATCGATCATACAACATTCGAATGATACCTTTTTCTTGTAAATGTAAAATAGCCAACGATATTTTATCACGCCATGGAGAACCTATTAGGATTCAGTATTCGAATGAACAAATGAATTGATCATCAAAAAAAGAAAAGAAAAACATACCTATTGGTGTGGCAATACCATATCCTTTGGAATCAAGTAGACCGCCAATCTGGGTTAGATTACAGTTACGTTGGACCATATAATCTAACATTGTTGATTCCATTAGAAATGCATAATTGCCTTCCAGTACTCGTTGTACACCTTCATCATAGGTTTTTACGAAAACCATCGGTCGATTTTCCATAAAACGCCACATTTTCTGATAAGTTTCTATTTGTGAATCACGAAAAAATGTCATTGTCGATCCGGATTCTAGTGTACCATATTGAATACGTGATTGAGCGGCTAAATCTTCAACACTTTGAATAGGGGTTATCATTCGTTCAACAGTAAGAAAAGCGGCAAGATTAGCAGTATAAGAACTGACTAGTATCAATGTAAAAAACCACCATATAGCACCAATTATTCTAGTACTTGCCGCTTTCGGATTCAAATCGCATCCTTGATGCATCAATGTAACAATAGTAAACCAAAATGAATTGGCCATCGAAAATTGATTCTCAAGTTTATTGTTATCATCACCATCGGCACTATAATGTGGATCCATAGCTGCTATACATGGATGCGAAAGTCGCCATTCATTTGGACTGAAACGAGCAACGACAAACATTGTTAACGAAACCAGAATATAGGCAGCCAATACATATAGCCAAATATCAATATCTAATGGTGACATGAATGAAAATAATCTTGTCGGCATTGTTGATGGCAGTTTGAATAGGATACCGATACCCAAATTCATGTATGGTTTCGTAAAATGTATTACACTTTCACGTGCATAATTGATTGTCATCGATGCTACAGCTAGATCAGCATTCTACAACGATAGATGGCGATATTGAGTCATATTGAAAAAAAATTGAGAAAAAGTTCATTCAGATGATTCAGATAAATTGTTTCTCAAATATACCTTATCAATGATTTCGCGCACCAAACCATTCCATTCACCTGTGGTTGTATTTTCAGCACCATATTTACCATCCGGTACTAGATATAATTCATATTGGAAATTTAACATTTCTGCAATCGCTTTTAGAAGATCAATGCAAAATCCTTCGAAATGATCATTCGAATTGTTGGTAGCTATTTGATTGTTTAGATTTTTCTTGTAGAATACATATGGTGTAGATTCAATGGTTGTCACTCTCAAAGTGATATTGGTTGTTCCAAAATCTTGAAATGCAGCATGATCAGTAATGTTTAAACCAGATCCTGTAGACCATTCACCGACCTGTTACAATCACAAATGAATGGTTGTTTTTAGGAAAACGAACATAGTATATTAAAACACTTACTTTAGTCAGATTACTTTGTCTTAGTTTGAGCAGATCTAATTTCAATGAACTTCGACGACCTTCTTTGAATGCGATCGGTCCAGTAAGGCCACGAATGTCAACCTAAATGATTAAAAAAAAATGTCATTATCATTTGATTATAGAGAAGAACATAATAATAAATTACCGAATTAATATAATTAAATAACGTGCTGCCATCGGGCCATGGTGATTCTTCATCACATGATAGATTCATTTGCCGTAGTATAGCACCACGTTCCAATGAATGTAAACCACGAGCAAATGTATAAACAGAATCGAATATCAATGCTGGTTCGTACTATTTGAAAAAAAATAAATCAAAATGTTGTCTGGAAATAATTTTCTAATAGCACTTACCTGCATCACATTTGTACGATTGAGAATTGGATGCCTTTTGGGTTGAAATTTTTCCATATCACGTAATACAGTTTTGACCGAAAAGTTATCCGAATCGACCATACGAAATGCGGTAAGATTGACAAAATTGTATCGGAAATTTTCCAAATCATAGATTTCAATATCGAACGTAACAAAATGATAATGGTATTTATAGTTATTCATTTGTGTTTGCAAAATCTATGAGGAATATTTGTTTTTTTTTGACGACAAACGGAAATTGAAATCACATGTTTTCCCGACATTTCGGAGCAAAATTAATGATTTGTTTATTCTAGGCAAAAAAAGCCATTACTTACAGCATGTAAAATTTTTGGTAAACTTTCCGGACGTGTATCGATGATCAATGAATAAACGCCCCGAGTTCGTACATCAAGTAATACATCACGAAATGATAGAGCATTTCCTTTACGAAATATGAACTGTATTTGCTTACTTAATGGTGGCTTCACTAATTGCTGTAGCTTAATCAATGCTAAATTCAAGCAAACAAACCATTGAAATCATAGAGAAATAATAATCATCAAACTATACTTACAAATATCATCTTCATAAATGACGGCTATTTTTGTCCAATTTAGATAGACTATCAAATCTCTTAAAGCTTTACCAATAATCATCGGCGATGGATAAAGATTGATGCTAAATTCTTTCAATTCAGTTTCAAGATCTAAACGGGCTTCGATATGTGGCATATCTAATGCATCACATAATGATTGTATATGGGCACCAAGTATTGGATCTTGTGGTCCAAATATTGCACTTACACCGCGATTCATTTGTAAACATGCTATGCATTTGATAAATTAAAGATTCAGTTATTCACATATATAATAATCATTCAATCGTGAAATGTAATCAACCTTTTTTCGATGCATGAAACGAATCCTCTCTCGGTACATATTGAATATCATACACCATTGTCGTATTTTCCAATAATGTTCGATCTTTATTTATTCGAAATACCGCATATTTAAAGGCTAATTCGCTTGGACCATCACGTTCTTCTTCGGTGAATAAGGCGGCTAATGTTTAATGATGAAAAAAAACAAACATGAACATTTTTGGTTTTTTTTGCCAAACAAACATTTTTAAAAGGTCAATTTGAAAATGATAAACCATTTCGTAAAAGAAAATGGCCCAGAATATTCAACTACTGATCTATCTATCTATTAAAACGATTTTTTTACTGTAATTTTGTCGATTTTAGTCACTCTTTTTTTTTGTTTCAACAAATTTGTTCAATGTTGATGATGATGATGTTCTTTTCATTCTTAGTTTTTTTTCTTTTGTCTTTTCATATTATTCATTCCAATGTCATCATCATCATTGAATTTCGTTGTTGTTGAAAATTTTCTTTTTTTTTCTTTCTTTACAAATGTCATGTTACAATGACGACACCAGCCATAATGAAAAACAATAGCAAAAACAAGAATAAGAAGAAAAAAAAAATACAAAAGGCTATATCTTAACGAGGACAAACGATCATCATCAAGCGAAATATATATATTGTATAATGACAAAGAAGAATAAAGATCAAGTACAAATACAGACATCGAATGGCCAAAGAATTAGAAAAGAATCAAAAACAAAAACAAAACAAAAAAAATGATATAAAGAAGCAATGTGAATGAAAGATATCATCATATAGAAGAAGAAGAAGAAGAAAAAAAAAATAAAATAAATTAAATTAAATTAGGCACTTTTGTTGTTTGTTGGGGGTTGACTGGCTTGTATCGGATTCTTTAAAAAAAACGGTTCATCATCACTATCATCATCATCATCATCATCATTGTCGATCGCGCATCCCCTTTCACATTTCATTTGTTCCTCATCATCATCATCATCATTGTTATTTCCTTTTCCGTCGTTTTGTCATAACCAACTTTATTTTTTTTTTTTTTTTTTGAATTCTAGATTCTGGCTTGACAATAACAATGATGATGATGATGATGATGANTTGTATCGGATTCTTTAAAAAAAACGGTTCATCATCACTATCATCATCATCATCATCATTGTCGATCGCGCATCCCCTTTCACATTTCATTTGTTCCTCATCATCATCATCATCATTGTTTTTTCCTTTTCCGTCGTTTTGTCATAACCAACTTTATTTTTTTTTTTTTTTTTGAATTCTAGATTCTGGCTTGACAATAACAATGATGATGATGATGATGATGATGACAAAAGTTTTTTTTCTTTTCAATAACAACAAAATGATTCTGCTGATGATGATTGTTGTTGGTTACTCTAGTTACCAGCAAAAAAAAAAATAAATAAAAAAATTAAAAATGAATGTACACCCTCTCCTTCTCCAATGACTTAATGATCTAAATGGTTTGTTGATGATAGCAAGCAAGCATCCGAAAAACATAATAATCAAAGAACATCGAACCTGAACGAAACCAAAAAAAAAAACAATTGTTTCTCTTGGATTCTTTTTTTTTCATTGTCTAAAGTCAAAAACATGATCGAAAACCGGATAAAATTGAATAAATTTTCATAAATTTATCACCTCTTACTCAATTCTCTTATTTAATTTGTTTACATAGAAATCAAGAATTTTAGTCAACCATGATCAGAATAGAAAGAATCAAAAAGAAAAATTGACCACTTGACTTGAGTATCGTACTTGCAATGAGAATAACAACAACAAGTATATTTATTTTTGGATTCAAATATTTCGTAGTTGAAACAGTGAAAATGTTTTTTTTTTGTTTTGTTTTCTCAAATCCAAACCAAATCAATTTATCGAATCGACAAAGAAACAAACAAATGAAAAAAAAGAAATAATGATACAATTTGAATATATTCCAAATGAATCCAAACACAACAAATAAACAAATATATTCATTTTCTATTTCGTTCAATTCAATTCCAATGATAATGATCAATATCAAATAATAAATCTGAATGAAAATAAAAAAAAACATAAATGAATATGATGACAATGAATAATCGAAAATGAAAACGAAAAAAAAACATTCATTATATAATATTAAAGATAAAAGAAATGAACAACAATGATGTTTATAATGATCATGATCATTTGATCATGTTTAATAAATCACAAATGAAAATGAATCAAGATTTTTTTTCATTCATTCATTCATTCATTCTTTCAAATATATCATTATATGTACAAAACAAACATGGATTTATATTATTATTATTTTCGCTTGGTATACCTTCGAATTCATTCGGTGGATCAAACATTGTTGTTGTTGATGATTATGTTTAGTTTGGCCAAAGAAACAACAACAAAATGATAATGAGAACCAAAAAAAAAGCAGCAGTATTTTCATATAGAGAAACCGGCGGTTCTAAGCAAAGCTAAAATAATAATAATCTTTTCTCTCTGCTAAATGATTACAATTTTTTTTTCTCCTGCTGATGATCAATGATTCTTAATGCATTTTAATGATGATAATGATATATATTCTTTTGGATAAGATGTTTTTGTTGCTATTTATTTTATTTTTTGTTATGTGTTCAGGTTTTTTTTCAATGATGAATTTTATTTCTTTTCCAATCAATTGTGTTAAGATTCTCATCATATTTTCTTTCATTTTTTTTTTGTTGTTGTTATCAAAATGGAAATGTATTTCTATCACTTTATTTCTTTTCATTGTTGTTTTCTTTCTTTTTTGACCATGATTTATATCGAAGCAATTCTTTTTCAAACAACCATTGTTTATTTATAAATGTTGAGAAAAAAAAATGTTCAATTAATTCCCAAGATGATAATTATTATAGTTTTTTTTTCTCTGGATAACAATCAGAATTCCCATTGAGTATCATCGAATGTTGCAATGAAAACAAAAAAATTTTTGGTTCCATTTTCTTGAAAATAAGAAATTTGTTTGCTTCTTTCAGATTTCAATAATACAATAATAATCATAATTTGAATAGAATTTGTTATTATTGATAGTTGTTTTTGTCCATCTTGTTTCATATATCGATTTGATTCTGATTTTACAACATCAAATAGCAAATGTGTTAATGATCATTACATTTTATGGATTGTATTGAATTTTTATGACAATATATCATCAAGTTTGTTTTGTTTTTTTTTCGTTGATGATGGATAAAGACAAAAAAATTTCTATTTTTTTTACACTTTCAATAAGAAACATTAAGCATGATAATGTAAGATTAATATGATTCAAATTTGTTACGTAAGGAAAACAAAAAAAAACTTAAGCTCTAGCTTCAGTATATAATCAGTGGCGGGGAGAAAAAAAATTCAAAAAAATAAGCGAATCGCTTTTTTGGGTTAATTAGCAAAAATATAGTCATTAAGATGTAAGAAACTTTTTTTCTTTGCCATTCTATTTCATCCTTTTCTTTTCTTCATCTCCAAGTGTGAATAACAATCATCGTTTGCTTTTTTTTCTGTTTGAACAAAGTTTCATCCATAATCAAGTGAAATAGATTAATTGTTCTTTAATTAATACAATGTTTTTTATTCCTTCTCACATTTATACATTTTCATCCATTTAATGATGATAATGAAAAATGAACCATTTTTTTTTTGTCGACAAATCCAAAAAAAAAGTGCCAAGAAAAAACAATCAGTTTCTTCTGTTGTTTTTTTTTTACAAATCAAAATTCCGGTACATTGGTTGTCCGAACCATATGTTAGATGTTCAAATCTATTAAATGATATCGATGATTCACAATTTTCTTTTTGTAACAATTTGTGATAAAAACAATAACGGTGGTAAACCAAATAAACAAAACAAAACAAAAAATTCCATTTTTCATTTAGCTTATCTTTTGTCGTTTGTTTTTTTGTTTTTTGTTTGTTATTCGACTTTTGTCAAATCACCCGTTTGTTGTTTTTCGGACGACAATTATAGATTAAAACTGTCATTTTCGGATAGTTTTGTTTTGTGTGTGTTTTGTTTTCAATCATTCATTCGGAAATTGTTTGTTTTGACTCGATACGGACGGACTTGTTGTTGGCAATGACGTTCAACAATCATTTTGTTTGATAATACTGATATTTCTTCTTTCCAAAAGAAAAAAAAACTTAATTTTGGTAATTTGATTCATGATGCGTAAGCTTCATAGTAGAAGATTCATATATTCTACAAATTTTTACACATCAAAACTAATTTATATTGAAATTAAGTAAACAAGTCTAGTCTAATATGATTTCGTTGAAAAAAAAGGGTCAAACATTAATGAAAATGGTGATGAAAAAAAAGGGTTAATATTATTATGGAAAATCAATTAAATCAATGTCAAAATTGAATTTTGCCTAAAGGGATTCTAAGGATTTTTTTTTTTTGCATTTCATTGATAATTATTATGAAATGTGTTTATCTTGTCAAGCATATATTAATATTTACTTTAAAATTTAATCTTTGTTGCTTTTGGTATATGTTTGGTTCATCTTCATTGCTGCCAATCATCATCATCATCATCGAATCAATTTTTTTCATTGATTCATATTGATCACAAAAACCTTAAAATCCATCGGAATCGGTTTTGATATTGTTTCTAAGATTCTCTTTCTCTCTCTCTCTCTCTCTCTTGATTGTTTGAAAAAAATTCTTGTTAGTTTTGTTGTTGTTGTTGTTATTTTTCGTTATTGATGTTTATGAAACTTTTGTTCAATGTTAAATATAACAATGTTTTCAAACAGAAAAGAAAAAAAACGAAAATTTTTCTCGATTGAAACATCCAGAAAGAACAAAAGAGCAAAAAACATCGACAACAACAACAACAACTGAAGCAGAAGGCCTACGACCAAAGACAAGTGAAAAATCGATATTTTGTTTTTCACCCGTTTCATTTTCCTGTTTCTTCTTTTTCTTTTTTGAAATGAAAAAAAAACAAAAATTTGAAACAACATTGATCCAAAACTAAATAATAGTATAGGATGGTGCGAACATTCTTTAGCAAACCACACACACACTTCTTTATTCTCGTGATCTAGGATTCTTTCATCACTTGGACAGTCAACAACAGGAAAAAAAATAAGAAAAGAAAAAGAAAAGTTCATAAAAATTTT